CCCCGACTGTGGGGGCGCCCACCCTTAGTACCTCCGTCTTGTCCGGGTTCAGCCTCAGCCCGTTCTCCTGCATCCATTGCAGTACGGTCCCCAGGCAGCGCTGAAGGGACAGAACGGCATCACCTGCAGTCGGTGGAAAGGAGATGTAGAGCTGGGTTTAACCAGTTGCTTCCGTGCTTGTGGTTGGGGCATCACCTTTCTATTCCTTAGCCTAGTGGGGACCACACCTCCCCCACTGCCCTGAAAGCAAGCAAGCAAACTCTGATTTTGCACACCACATAAGTTGCATGCTAAGTGGGAACCATGTTTGAGAGCCCTGGGAGACTTCCAGGGGAGTTAACTAATTCCTGAACAAAGCATGCACTCCCTGTATAACATTGCCTTGGTCAGAGTGCGTGCGTGCGTGCGTGCGTGCGTGCGTGCGTGCGTGCGTGCGTGCGTGCGTGCGTGCGTGCGTGCGTGCGTGCGTGCGTGCGTGCGCGCATGCTGTTTCTGGCAGCAAAGGAACCATAGATCCCTGGGGACTACAAAGGAAGATGGGGTGGATGTGGATTGCATGTGTCCTTTCTATGTAATGAAGTCTGTTGGCCATGTTTGCTCACTTTTCTTACAAGCAAGGGGATGCTGTAGCTGTGTTATCTTGGATACTGCTGTCTAAAGTAGCCTGTTATATATTCAAGTAAAAACCTGGAAACCAAAGGCCCATCTTGATCCAGCTTCTGTTTGACGCAGTGTCTGACAAGATCCTTGTCTGGTAAATGAGAAATACAAATTTTCTCATGGTTTCCGTGTGGGAAAATATGTTATTGCACCCAGAGGAGTGTAGATTGTTTTCTCTCTTTCATTTCGTCTGTAGTTAAGGTTTGAGGATCCCTGTATTAAGCTGAGTTTTTATCTAAGAAGGAGTGTATGAGTATTATTGGAGCTCCAGGAAGTCTAATTCATTGCAATCTGTATCTCTCCTGTAAACCAAATAATACCCTTTGATGGTTGTTGTGGGTTTTTCGGGCTGTTTGGCCTTTTAGATTTTTGTTGTTAAAAGGCAGTTGCAGACAACTGCTAGTAGGATGGAAATTTTCTCCTCCTCCTCTTCATCCTGTATCCCTCCATCCTGCCCCACAACCCATTCCACAGAGCTTTCCAACCCTCCAGAACAAGTTTTGAAGGTGGAATAAGTTACAAGAAAGCTGATTCCAGAAGAACTGGAAGAGGAGAAAGCCCTCTTCCAGTTATTCTGATGGAAATACCGGTAATTATGATTGCATAGTGCTATCATTAGATTCCACCCATGATGCGTAATTTTAACAAAAATGGTCATGCTGCATGTTGCAAGCAGCTTTTAATTGACTGAGCCAACTTGCAAAGTGCCCCTATTTGGGACGACTTACATAATGGGACCGATAAGAGTCCAGAATCAGTGGATTGAGTCCTTTTAAGAGGAATATGACATGTCACCTGCTCTGCAGAATAATTGGGACAGGAAAAATGTAGGGCTTTAAATAACAGGACAAGGATTTTAAAATATGTCCTTCACCTGACAGGCAACTAATACAGTGCCCTGTGATGATGGGAAATATGGGAGTAACATGGAAAAATTAAAACCCATTTGTGCTGCTCTACTCTGTATAAGGATGGAGTGAAGAAGAAGGAGGACCCACCAAAAAGCCATTACAGAATCCAGGTGTGAAATCACCAAGGCATGAGTAAGGAGCTTTGTAGTCTCAGGAGTCAGGAAGTAATGGATCCAGTGGATATTAGCAGGATGAACATACCTTAGCATTCACAGATGAATGAAGTAACAGGCAATTATCCACTAAAACACAAAGATATGTGATCTCTGAGACTGAGTCGCCCAATAACCCTGGAGGAAGAGAGAAGAAACAGTCAAGGGATGGGCAAGACAATACAGAGGAAAGACACAAGACCACATTCATGGATAAAATTATGATAGGACATTCATGATGAGATATCCAATAGGCAGGCTGTCAAGGGAGTCCAGATGTCATCACTAAACTCAGGATAAGATTAGCACACTTGGATACCATCAGCATAAAAATGACAATGAAAATCCATACTAAAAATTAACTAACTGTAATGGAATACTTTGTGGGGGTAAAAACAAAAATCAAACCTATATGTCTAGTTTGAAATATTAACCACATAATAATAATTTTATAATAATGATCATTCTGTACTTCTAGAGGTGAATGAACATGAACATTGTAGGACAGTTTGAACTTCCAAAAGGTGAGGTATAATTGTTAGGGGAACACCTCCCTGGCCATATGGGTCGAGAAGGCTTTGATGCTTCAGTCCAGGAGTGGCCGTCTTCCACTTATTCCAGGTCTGCACAAACCCATATATAAATCTTGAATGTCTGCATGCAAATCTATCAGATTACTGTACTTAAAAACAAACAAAACAAAAAAGGCAATTTTTTGCTCAGTTTTGTCATCATTTATCCCTAGCGAAGATTTTTTTTTTCAAAACCAGAGGTGGTCAGAAATCAATTCTGATTGTGGTAAAGGGCCACAATTCCTGGGAGAGTAAAAGCATCATGATATTGCTCCCCATGCCCCTAGAGGAATGTTTTTGTTCTATAGGGTTTTTTAAAATCAAGGCAGGGGTTGGGGTTGGACCAATATTTGATATAATTAGGCATTCTTTGAAAAGTAAAGATTCTTATTAATGACTGCCTGGTTATTTTAGCAATATATGGAATCACTTATGAGAAAGAAGAAGAATAGGTGGCAGCTCCTCCCAGAAGCAGCTGTGATATCATCCAGGAGAGTTTGCCCTATTACAGTAGATTCAGCCAACAGCTTAGCAACTGTGGGGAGGGGCATTCCCCCTCAATTTTAGAAAACAATTTTCCCCTCACATTTCCCAATACAGTTTGGTATAGTACCACACCATCATCATTTTGACTTCCTTCTTCTCGTT